GAGAAATGACTGAATACATTGTGTTTGCCCTGTCTGCATGCCATGCTGTCTTCTCCCCTTGTGCCCGCTCCCTGGGCTGTTTCTCCTCCTACTCAGCATTTGTGTTCTGCTTTGTGCCCCCACGCTGCAGAGAAGTACGATGCTTTAGAGCCTTGTTATTCAAAGCCTGGTCCTCTCACCGACCACATGAGCATCACCAGGGACCTTGTTAGGATTTCAGAATCCCAGACTCCAATCCTGACTTCAAGAATCAGAATCTTAAGATTTTCAAGAGATTCCTATGCTCACAAAGCTTTGAGAAACATTGCTTTTGAGTCCCAAGGATCTGGTTTATACAGAACAGCAAGCTATTCTGATAAACACTGCACTGTTCATGGCTGTATGGTTCCACCAGAACACATTTCTATGTGATTTCTGGAGTCATGGTGCTATGACTGGTTTTCAAGTCAAGTTTTACAAAACCATATGTGGTTTCAAAAGTAACACAAAGATTTAATTTTATTTTAAAATGTCTATTTTAACTTTTAAACACTGTAGATGAAAAACACCTTCGAAGTGCCTTGATGATTACCAGTGCATTCAGTTATGCTGTCAAGCTAACATTTTTTAGATTTGAAATAAAATTTCTTCCACTATCCTTGCTTAATTAAGTAATACACATACACTACAAAGTAAGCTACTACAAACAAACAAATCTCGTACCATTTGCAGTTTCTTCTATTTGTGAATCTCAAATTTCCAATGCTTTGCAATTAAAATCAAGTTCAGAAATAAAAGGGATGCTATGGGTAAAATAAAAGTGCAACTGTCATCCATAACCCTGGAGTGAATTGTGACATCCATCTAAGCAGCCACTCTGTCTACGTGGGTTTATTTCACATTAAGTAATTGCAACCCACTTGACCTTCAAAAATATAGCTTTCATTTGTCTTATGTATTGGCGTCTAAATAAATGTTATTTGAATAAAATGCATTTTGATTCTAAATCATTTTGAAAGGCTGTAACTAAAAGTACGATTCCGACAGAGAGGGCAGGGCTGTCTGGAGCCCGAGTTAATTTGATGCATCACTTCTTCTGGAGTCCTGTGATCACAACACATTGACACCTGTGAACTTCTTCCCTGTATCTTCCTGATCCCAGTCAAGTCATTCTCAAGTAGAAGCAGTTGAGTCATTTTGATTCATTTTTGATGTGAATCAAACTTTCAAGCTAGGACATGCCATGAAGCAAATTACGCATTCCCTGTGGCCTACTAAAAAAAATGAGTTTATTAGAGCAAGAGTCTGGATTTGAGAATAAAATCATAGAAACAAATAATGTATATTTCTCACAGCAAAAGAGATTTGTTCTAAAATTACTTCAATTTCTTTGTGGTGTAACTTTCTGGCATTTAATTCATCCATTCTTTTAGTCAATGTGTCAATAGGTGGTTAGTGAGTGTGCACCTAGTTACGTAAAACACTGTAAGATAAAAACCCCTAATTGTAGAAATCTCAGTTCAGAAGAGACAGGTGTTCAACACATCATTACTAAGCAATGTAGTAATAGTGTATTGGACATAGGTTACTGGTTCTAGGAAATAATAGGAAAGGGGCTGCTAGGTTAATTAGTATTTTATTTTGCTTGGTAACTGGCCCTAACTTTTTAAAAAATATTTATGGTGATAGGGTTTGCAATTATATTTGAATCAAGTTGGTTTGGAAATAAAGCATTTTCCACCATTAAGAATTACAATGTCCATAATCATCACAGGGAGAATGTCAGTTTTAAAAATAAGAACTGACTGGGGATGGTGGCTCATGCCTGTAATCCCAGCACTCTGGGAGGCTGGGGTGGGTGGATCACATGAGGTCAGGAGTTTGACACCAGCCTGACCAAATGGCGAAATTCTGTGTCTACTAAAAATACAAAAATTAGCCAGATGTCAGGGTGCATGCCTGTAATCCCAGCTACTCAGGAAGCTGAGGCAGGAGAATCACTTGAACCCCTTGAACCCGGAGGCAGAGGTTGCAGTGAGCCAAGATGGCACCACTGCACTCTAGCCTGGGTGACAGAGCAAGACTTTATCTCAGAAATAAATAATAAAAATAAGAATTATAAAAAAAAAAAGAGAAAATTGAAATTCCATCTAAATGCAAAAAAAAAAAATACTTTTAAAGAGATCCTTAATACTGAATTTTGGAAATATATTTGGACCTGTATATTTGTGAATCCATCTGTGAATCCAACGAATGACAGATAGAAAAGAAACAATTTTTAAAAATACAATGATAAATCTAAGTAACCTAGAGATGATTTAATTACATGGAAGGCTGTGCATAGATTATATGCAAATACTGTACCATTTTATAACAGGGACTTGAAAATTCATGGATTTGGTTATCTGTGGGGTAGGGAGGTGGTATAGAACAATCTCCCTCCAGATACGGAGGGATAACTTGTATTCATTTAGTCTCACTTGATGCTATAGGCTTTTTGCATGTGTGTAAGAACACAGTAATCTTTTCTATCATGGAGATGATTTTCTACTTTGCCTATTATTTACACCACATTTAGATTCCAGCCTGGTTTTCCTTTGCTACTCACTACACTTCTGCACTACTTCTGAATTAATTGATATAATGAGCTGATGTGAATTACTTTTAATATTAGTCTGAGCTAATATTAACCCACAATAATTTAGAAAGTGAATATACCATACAACATCATATACATACTGAATTCCAAAACTAAGTATCAAGGATGTTTTAGTTTTCTGTCATTTTGAAGTGTCTAGCCCATTGCTTCCTTCCATGATGCAGAGAACCACCTGCTCTGGGTGTAAACACCTTCTGCCATGTGTGGCTGGGTGCCTCAGGGCTCGTGCAGCATAGTGGCTATAGGAAAGGTCAGACCACCTAGTGCTTTCACTCTTCCACCGCCTTATCAGTGCTTTTTTCACGTATTCTGCTAGGCACGATATTCAACATTTTAATAATAAACATACAACTCTTCAGGCCTCAGGCGAAGTGTTCTAAACTTTATGAAGTCCTTTATTTATTATCCACGTGGAACTCCTCTACTATCCAAATTTCTATAGCATTTCATATCTCTTTTATGACTCATCAAATTCTTCTGGGTTTGCATTTTTCATGAATCAGATCCCCACCCCACCTCCAGCCAAACTGTAAAATCTTTGGAGATGAAGCATCTTTGTAGCCTTGATAACCTAGAGCCCAAATTTTATAAAAAGAGTCTATTAAACTTTGGGCGAATTTTCCATTCCTCATGATCATTCAACAAGATGCTTTTGTTTATGTTGTATCTTTCCCCAACAATGTTTTTTTCTCTCGTTTTCTTCTCTTGCAGTCCTGTCCATTTATTGAGTCTCAGCCCAAAAACTTTTAATTGTGCCCAAAATGTACATGCGATTCCTCGTGTGAAATCCCATAGTACCTTATTTGTGCCTGCATTATGCTGTTTTTCATTTCTTCCTTGCACTGTAGTTTTCATACATACTACATCTAATTCTGTATACACTACAAGCTCTTTCTGCAAGGCTGTAAATACAATGTTAGTCATGTATTTTCCATTGTGCTGTGCCTAAAGCAAGTGCTCAATCAGTGTTTGTTGCAGGAGTAAAGGTTTGTAAAAACTTGAGGAAGAACAGCACAGCTACTCAAAGCGGGGCGGGTGTGGCGGGCGGGGCTCCATGCCAAACTGAGCCAATCCCTGCTACAGATGGTTTTAGGCATGGCTAATGGTAAATTGAGAACAAGAGTTGGAGATTGCTATTGCTGAGGCCAGCTCTATCAGATTTTGTAGCAAGGAGCGACTGGGGAATTATGATAAAGGGGTTGCTTGCAAGGTGGCTTTTTATCTGTCTTACCTGTGACCCATGATTATAGATTCTGCTATTTTAATCTGGAAGAGTTTTCCTATTTTTGACAATTCCCTACTAAAGTCTAGATGTCTTTTGTGAGTACTGGTATATCACAATGAATACCTTTGTTATCTGTAAGCATCTTAACCAGGATTATTAAAAAAAAAAAAATCACGTCGTGGGGCAGATGAAGAGAGGAACTGATGGGAGAGATAAGAGATGGAACCAGCAGAAAGGAAAGGGTTTGTGCCATTGAAACAGGGGTGTTTCTGGACAAATTTCAACCTCACAATTTCTGAGGGACAGTCGAGCTGTGCTCTGGAGGCTGTGTTTCAGATACTTACAGCTTCCATTTGCTGGCTCACTATTTCCTGCCTATTAATGAACTATTAATACTTCAGCAACATTATCTCCAAAGCTAAAATTACTTGTAAGATAGAGATCATTGTCCTGTTTTTCAAAGCTGAAAACTAAGGTTCAAAGAGATTAAATTAAGTAGTCACAATTAGTTATCTCAATGAAAAGGTATAAATTTGAACACAAAACCTGCGTTTTTTTCCCCTGTGTTATGTTTGCTGCCTCCTTAAGCAGGCTGCTTTTATTATCCAGTGGGAAATAGGGAGAGGTGTTTGGAAGACTTAGAACTCCTTTCTTTCTCATTTAGTTTATTTTCATTGCTGTTTTCATGACATTATTTCAAAAACTCAAATTGCTATGAAAAACTTGGTGATGCCCCTCTTTAAGTCAGTATTTGACTTAAGAAAGAACAGAGTAAAGTAAGAAATAAGACAGCTTATCTTCTATCTTTCACCAGGAGGAAACTTAGCTATTGTCTTTGTTGCGGGGTAAAAGGAAAAAGAAAATGAATCAGTGATATTCAAATAAATCCCTCAGTTGTTTGTCAGTATCTACTGTTTACTCAAAAATGGGAAGCACCAGGCCTGTGATATATCATCTTTGTTGCGCTTGGCACCTTCCATCATGAATCATATTAATCTGCTTAAACTAACAAGGATTAATTACCTTGGTAAGACAACCTGGCATTGAAATGATATATTGCCCAGACAGCTTGGAATTTGGCCACTCATAAATCTAATTTGTTGTTGGTTTATTTCTGTTTGTCTCTTTCTCTGACAGATGTGTGCCCAATCACTGTGAGCATGGTGGAAAGTGTTCGCAAACATGGGACAGCTTCAAATGCACTTGTGATGAGACAGGATACAGTGGGGCCACCTGCCACAACTGTGAGTGCCAATTTATCTCACTTTAATCTCGTAATTGCATGAGAATCTCAAGTTTTTAGCTATGCTTTAAAGCTTAGCAACCTGAATAATCTACGTAATACATCACTCGAATCTGGAAAACCAAGATTCAGTTGTCATTTCTCCAAAAAATAGCATTCTACCTGTTAAAATATGTTCTCTGGTGGCAATTGACTCAAAAAGAAGGTCCAACATTTTCACTGTTCCATAAATCCGTAGTTGAGATTGGAAGGCCAAACTTGGATTTGCCTCTCTGTGTCTAACCTATGTCTGTTTGGGTTGATTTTTTGGGAAATTGTGTTAGTGTGATGTCTCTGGCTGGACCCTCATTTATCAATTAATCACAGTGGGAGACAGAGTGTAATTGGAACATTTTGTTTCTGGATGATAGCTGCCTCATGCTTTAGCCCAACTATTTGGCTACATTTATTTAGATAAAAGAAGTGAGTCAGAAATGGAATATCTAAAAGTTAATAGACGTAAAATGAAAACATAAGAAGGCAAAAATATTTTTAAGTAGCAAAAATAAAAAGTAATATGCAAAATGATTAGTAAAACATAAATGTGCCTTGCTTTTTATAATAGCTTTATTCCAAAAGGTTAAATAAAAATTAATTTTACTTAAAATTTCTTAATTTAATGCTCACTCCATAAATGTAATATTAATTTTCCAAACACTTTTGAAAACAAAGCACTTTTGAAAACAGATTTGGCATAAATCATAATTAAAAGAAGAGAATCAACTGTTGGGTAGTGTGTACATCTGTCTGTGCCTGTGTGTGTGTGTGTGTGTGTGTGTGTGTGTGTGTGTGTATGTGTGTGTAGGGAAGGAAGAGTGAGAAAAAAAGAGAGAATTCAACCTTCTCTCAATATGCCCAAACACTGAAACTCTAATGTCTAAACCCTCTGATTATACGAATAAAATGCCCTTCATTTTACTTTTAGGAAATAGTGACAAGAAAACTACCTCAGAGTAGAGCCCTGGGTACAGTAAAAATGTCATACATGTCTCTAATCCTTTCCATTGTGTTATTTATAGTAATATGCAGCAAGAAATCATGTTTTGAATGTATTGTAAAATGCTGACTTAAAACGTTGCACACATTTATTTATTTAGGTAGATATTCAAAAACAAGGCCAAGGAAATCTTGACAAAACTAACAATGGGAAGATGTAAACAAAGTCAAAATAGACAGACACTTAGTAGATTCATTATCTGTGTTTACATATTTAAAAGTAATTTAATGAATAAAGAACAAAAATTATATGGAAATTAATTCGAAGAAAAGAGATAAAACTAAAATTATGCCTTACCAATCACATCAAAATATTAACGTTCAGCATGTGACATTCATTATGTAAATGATGATGCTAAAATTCCATAACTTTGATGAAACTGGGTACCTTCACTCCATTCATATAATTTGTATATATCTTGTTCCTGAAATATGGTAATGCTAACCAATGGTAAAAAGCAAGAACTCAGTGGTGGTTGCAAGGATTTTCTATCTCACTGATGACTATTACAGTGAATTGAAAAGCAAGTTATTCTTTTTTTATATATCTGCTTTCATCATTAAATACACAGAAAAAATACAAAAAAAAAAATTTAAAATGTATGCTATTGGTTGAGTAGTTGAGGTTTGTTTTGTTTAAGGGTAATCACTCCAAGGATTAGAAATACCTTAAGTGTATTTAGGTTTGGCGCTAGTTGGCAGCTCGAAACATTTTTAATATTGGAATATTGTCTTTTGTTCTGCTGCTCCTTCCTATTTTTTCCTTGCTCCATTTTTTTGGATCTTTAAAAGCAGAATCATATAATAAGGCTGAGCACAGTGGCTCTCACCTGTAATCCCAGAATTTTGGGAGGTCTAGGCGGACGGATCATGAGGTTAGGAGTTCAAGACCAGCCTGGCCAACATAGTAAAACTCTGTCTTTACTAATAATACAAAAATTAGCTGGGCATGGTGTGCGTGCTTGTAATCCCAGCTACTCGAGGGGCTGAGGCAGGAGAATTGCTGGAACCGGGACCTGGGAGGCAGAGGTTGCAATGAGCCCCTGCACTCAAGCCTGGGCTACAGAGAGAGACTTTGTCAAATAAATAAATAAGCCTGAGCTGTTGTTGTCTTCTCCAAATGAAGCCAAAATTTTGAATATCAAACATGTGAATGAATAGAGGTGAAAATACCATACTGCATAATTCAAGAAAGGGTTGGCTGGAGACTATTTTGTTTTGAGACATATACATTGTAGCTAATTGAAGGCCATTTGCCTCCTAATAACCTGAAAGACTTGATACAGTCTTACCCACATGGAATTGCTAAAAATTTCACACAGCACATAATGTAAGAAGATATAATGTATGCCATTCAGTTCCACACAGACTGAACAATTTTACATTTTTACTAAATCAGTAATCACATTCATTGCAAGAAGATCAAAATGAAAAGACCCCAGTTTCTGATATTTCTGACACTAGCTATAAAATCATCAGGTCATGTGCCTTTGTGGTAAATCATTTGACTTTTCTTAGACTTTTCACGACTGAAGTCTCTTGGCTTTCTAAAAGCCAATGAGCTGAGATTTGCAGCTGCTTATTTTGTGTGCTGTGAGTTTGAACCTTGCAAATTATGTAAAATATTTTGCTTCATTATTTTCTGCAGAAGACATTCATCTTGAAATTATGCTAATTATTTAAAATAATATTTTTAATTAAAAAAAAGTAGCTAACTAAAATCTAAAGTTTAACATGACCAAACATTTGTTAGAGTTTCAAACATTACAGGTTACAGTATTTTACCACACTTTCTACACCAGCCCAGGCTTGGTCAAGTTGAGACAGTGGTGTAATGAGTGCCTTGTGATCATCCAGGGTAGAAGTTCTAGTTCAAGATGGAACAAAGAAACCCTTTTGCTTGTTCACACTGCCTTGCGTTGACATTGACTCTACCATTTTCTAACTTGTACCCTAAGCCATTTCAATTATTCGAGTTTCAGTTTTCTCCTGTATGAAATAGATAAGTAACAGTGCTCACCTCATCAAGCCATTGAGAGATTAAATGAAATGACTCACAGAAAGTGCTGAGAAAAACTCTGGCTTATGTGGTACTCAATATATTTTTGTCATTTCATCACTTTCAGAGCAGTTGTCCTTTTGCTCTGAACTTCTATACCAATAATTGCTGACATCACACAATTTGTCTCTTAATTTCATACATTGTTTGCTATCACTTTTATGCCAGATTTGGATTGCAGTAAATGATGGGTTTCCATAGTATTTTTCTCCAAAAGAATTTAAGAGCATTAAGAGAAATCTATATGCTTCCTAAACCTATGTCGTTTTTTTTATTTATTTATTTATTGGTTTGTTTATATGTGGGGACTTTGTTTTTACATAAATTATCTGTAGGGCTTAGAGGATTGCCATTCATGAACCACTCATCTGAGCAGCCAGTATGTCTCCCTTTGAGTTGAGGAGACAATTCCACAAAGCCAAAGATCACAGAAGATAGATCACAGGAAAGGGAAAGCCAATTTTTATTGTTTAAAAACAAAAGAGGTTAGTTTGTGACAAAATGCAAAAACATTAAATTGTTGCAGTTTTATACTTGAAAAAAATTGCTTATATAGGCATTCCACTCTCAATAAATCTCTTAAGAACTGACTAGTAGCATATCTGAACACCAAACCATGACTAGAGACTAAAGTGATCATGTTGAATAGTGTGTGTGTGTGTGTCCACTGGATTTACTTATCCCTGCTTCACTCTCCCAAAAGCACTGGAAAAATGTGTCTTGGTAGGAAAATTTCACATTTCTAGCTGTAGTCTTTCCTCTTAGCAGTGCTGTGTAGATATGTTCCAGCTGATGTCCAAGCTTTGCAATACTTCAAATGCTCTTTAGTATCTAATTATCACCTTGTTTTTTACACATATGTTCCTTACACTTTCAGAATTATTTTACCTCATTTAGTTTACATAAATCAAAAAAAATGATCTTTGTCTCAAGGCTTTGTTATCTCCTTAATATGCTGCTGGGTCCTCTCAGACTTCAGTCATTCTTATATATATTATTAGTTCCTTATGTGAAACTGCTCTAAAAATTCCTTAGAATATCCTAAATAATATAGAAATGTTTGGCTATTAAATGAGTGCAAGAGGTTAAAGGATAGTATTTTAGTCTTTGACAAAAATAAGCAATGTTAGCCTTGGAAATTTATTAAATGCCATATATGCATTCTGACAGGCAACGTTTTTGCAGATCTTTTTATTAAAGTAAAGAGTTTCACATTGCCCAGATATATAGATATAACATTTCCAGTGGAAACAGTAGGAGGTAAACTAGATGACCTATATAATTCTCTTTTAATTTTAAAATCACAAGATTTAAATATATATATATATATATATATATATATATATATATATATATATATCTGAAATACTAGTAAAGAACAGATCCTGATGTTGCCAAATAAAGCAAAAGTAAAATTTTGTCTAGCCAATGCTAGAGAAAAATTTAAATGGAAAAGGTAACAGTTCTACATGCTATATGCCGGAGCATTCCCTCTAGGTTCATCAATGTATAAACTGTAAACTGTTTTGTACCTTATTACAGCACACTTGAGAAGTGCAGTGGATTTCAACAGCACATACCATGTTGTTTATAATCCACTGTACCTATAAGTGATTTAATTCAAAGAATAATTTTCAAAACCAATTTAATCCTACTTGCTGTAGTCACACTAACACAGGGCATAATGACCTACATTTATTGGCACAAAGAAACTTGGTGTCTCTGTCTGTTTGGAGTTTCTACAACTTAGGCATCAGTGCTAACTTGGAGTTTGAGTATTGCTACAAAAACAGTCACTGGGTAGAATTGTGCTGGGTATTGTCTTAGTCCATTCACACACTTCTATAAAGTCATACCTGAGACTGGATAATTTATAAACAAAAAAGTTTAGTTGAATCACAGTTCCA